ATAACAAGTGTAATATCCACTAAAGCACAGCTTAAGTATATAACACCAACACCCCTGACTCGTAAGATGCATGCAGAGAGTGGGTGAAGACCATCACAGAACTTGTTGGCCTTCTTCAGTTCGGTGAGGAGCAAAGGCACTCATGCGGGTTAACTCCCGCTCATACTCCTCAACAGACCGGGTCCCCTGCTTGAGATCCCAAAACTCGCGCTCCATCCTAGCACGGTAACTCTGCAGATAGTTCTTCTCGAGGACCACTTCTTTCATGCGATCCAAGGTCAAATTGGCGAACTCGCCTGGCCTCAACCTCTAATAATCCTCCCACCACATTTCGGCATCCCCAATAAGCTGGTAACGACATACTACCTCTTGATCGTCTGTAACACCCCGTTTTATTTTAAAGAGTTTACCGAATTTATGTACAAAAATCAGAGTTAATTTTTCGCAAAATCTCAATTTAAAAACATTATTACCAACGGGCGCTACTTGAATACTAACAAAAATAACAATTAAGTCAAACCACAAGAACATACACATGCATCTCTAACAACATAATAATCAAACCAAGTTATAATAAGTTTCCAAACCAAATTCAAAAGATTTCAACATGATCAACAGAAAGTTTAAGCGGAAGCATCATAATCCATAACTAACAATTCAACACAATTAAATAATGCGGAAGCAAAGACATGACGTCTAATGACCACCACTTCCTCGTCTCTCGCTGCCGCCGCCAACATTGCTCAACCTAAAGATAGGAAGAAGAAACAAGAGGACAAAACAAACAAGGGGGGTGAGCAAAACCACCATGCTCACCAATATCGCATAAGTCTATCTCGCATAAAGATCCAAAACTATAAATAGAGTATGCATAGAATCCATGTCTGTCTCCCTATATGGACCTATCGCAAACCTCCTATGTACAACAACAACCTTCCGATCAGACATCGGCAAGGAAGTAACCGGAAACCTTCCCTCCATAGCTCGACATGGACAAGGGATCCTTTCCGAGAGACAGTGGAGCTGTTTTTCCCCTCCCGACTAGTCAAGCGGTTTAGGGCGTTACCTCCCGACTAGGCAAACGGTTCAGCGACCTCTCACTGTTTATGCATTCATCAAAGGCACTAAAAGCGAGACGCCCCTAGCGGTGTAACACACTAGACTAGGGTTCTCAGGCATACTAAAGTTATCAAAACAAAAATTTATACGAAATAACAAAATGCGATAAATATAGATACAACAATTGTACCCACCTGGTCGAAAGCAAGAGATAGCACAAAACACGTGTAGGTAACGAGCTCGGCTCGTCAAACACCTACATATATTAAAACAGTCCTATAAATGACTATCCAACATACGAACAATTTATAGCAATATACATGGATTCCACTCAGCACATCTTAGTCATATAGGCATGCATTTAACAAGTAAAACCCAATTTCAAATGTACAACACGAGATTTCCAAAACTTAACCCGCGCAGCGATTTTGAAATCAACACAACTTACAGCACATATACCATATAATCATGATTCTAGTTGCATTTGAACCCTAAGGTATGCATCTACAATTCTTATGAAGATATCAAGAACAAATAAGGTCATTAACTAGGAGATAAATCATCTAACATTCAGAACTGAGTAGCAGTCAAAAATTGAGAACATGCAATTGATGGACTTCAGTAATTTGAAGATAACTGGAGCTACAGACAGGTTTTTAATATGATACAAAAACCAAATGGAAGATAACTCAAATATCTACGACTTTGCAGAAGACTATATTGGCAAATAATCACTTTATAAATGAGTATGGACACAAAACATTCGATTTATAAAGTCTGCCCCAGACTAACGTATGATATAAATAGCACCTCAGTATTTGTCATCTAACTCATTGTACAGACCTCCAAACGACATGATTCTTGAATTCTTAGAAAGCTGAAAAATAAGGCTACAACTTTTATTAAGATCATAAAAGCAGACGAGGTCAGTTATATAATGTAAAAGCAGTTAACATTTCGAATCAGTTTTCCGTCGAAGTGTAAAACCCTACTTTAAGTATATCTACAATCATATGAACACAACGCGAGCTATAGATATCACCTCAGCATAAATCCTATCTCATTAGAAAGCTAATCAACAGACCTAAAACTTTCATACAGACTAAAAATTCACTAATAACATTATGACACCATAAACAGGCCAAACATTATATAAACTCATGCTGCCAGTTCCAGAAACACTGCTTGTACGATAAATTTATAAAAATCATAACTCATTCAATAGTAATCGGATTATCGAAATTCAAAAACCTAGAGAAAGATAACAAGACGAACTACAATTCATATAAAGAACAATTTTTAGAAAATAATTCCTTAATGTCATAACAGAGGCACCTTACCTCCTTCAAGAAAATGAAAATGATGAGGAGAAATGAAAGAAGTGTTGCTTGGTTCTTCTCCTTCTCTCTCACACTTTCTTGAACTCGGTTTTTCTCTCTTTTTTGCTAAAGTTTTCTAAGTGTATAATGGCTATTCTAAGCTGATAATTAAGGCTTATAAAGCTAAGAAGTTGACTTAAGTAAAGGCATCACATGGCATAACTCTTAGGTACATAAAAAATGAGCTTGATGCATCTTGTAGGTGTTTGTCTTGGAATATAGATCAATTTGCATGTGAGTCTTTGTTTCTTTTGCAATCCATGTTACAAGACCATGTGCTACATTTTCAAGACCATGAGGAGGGTTGAAAAAAAAAATCGGCCACATGCTATAGGTGAAGACAAAACTTTTGAAAAATCTACTCATGTGGCATGTGAATTAAGGTATATTAATACTACTCCTTATGAATGATTCTTAGCACTTTTGATTCGGTTTTTATGTTAGAAATAGCTGAAAAATATTAATTATTAAGAGCTATCTTGGAACATGCTAAGAAAATGAGAATAAGTAAATTTACGGAACCGAATTCAGACTTTCAACGAACGGTTACCTTAAAACCGAAAATTTGACTAAAATTTGATTTTAACTCTCTTGATTTGGTTTTGGTGGTTGAAAATACTATTAGAGAGAGATGACAATATAATGGTCTTAAGGTCTGGTTGAATCGTTTCAAAGTTTGGGTTGCAACGGTTCGAAAATGAACTCAAACGAACAACAATTCGGCTTACGCGATTATACCAAAAATTCAAACGACGATTGATAAAATAAAATCGACCGAGCTATATAATTATAGTATACACATAATAATATATTAAAAATAATCTCAAAATTAAAGTTCAATAAATAGAATATTCGAGAAATTTTATAATAGAACGGGACGCTACATCATCGATGCACCGAAAGAGACCAAAGATTCACTCGAGCTTGCGAATCCACTCAGACACAGCTGTGGGGCCCTCATCAGTAGTAAAAGCTGGTGGGTTCAGCCGCTGAAACTAAAGAATAATGTTGAGGTGAGCATCTACGGGGTTGGGAGCCTTCTGATGGGGTGAAAACAGAGGGGTTTGCTGATTGCGGTTACGACGAGCCATAATTCTACATTGAAAAATGGGTCGAAAAGATTTAGCACAATAATAAGGTAAATCTAGAGTTCAACACTGGAGTCCAAATTTAAAACATAGGTGGATAACTCCTAAACCCTGTAATCAATAATCAAGCAGTGCGCAGTAATCTCAAATTCACTCAGGTACTCATACCTGAGCTGGCGCGGCACGACGAGAGCAAGAGGTCATAACTTAAGGTCAAAGCAATAATCACATAATTCAGATTAACTAGTCTACAGAAACGCAGACTGGCTCTGATACCAAACTGTAACGCCCCACTTTTATATGCCCAAATTCAGGATAAATTTTTCAAATTTATTTTCTAAAACACTTGAGGCGCTACCCATTTTCAAAACCAATATCAAAATTCAAACAATCATCCATACTCAATCCTCAATACTTATTTATCAATAATCAATAATCCAACAATAATCCAGATCAATAATCAATATCTAATCCAATAATCGAATAAAATCCTAGGGAATACAATCCCTATCAAGTAATCAAATAAGAAATAATAGCAATAATTCAATTTTAGGTGGAAGCAATAACAATTAATATGACCACCATTCGCTTCTCTCCGACGTGCCCGCAATACTAACCTGCATCCATGAAAAGCAGATGAGAGTGAGCACAATTGGAAAATTGAGGTGCTCACCACTATGCAATAATTAATATTCAATAACCAATAAATAGTAAAGGTATGGTCTCAGCATGTATACGAATTAATAATCGTCCTATCTCCTATCAATAATCAATAATCATCTCATGTGCACACCTATAGCAGTAGACTACAACCTGACTATATACCAAACGCATTATCTAAGTTCTTACAACGAGTGTCCGACCAGCAGGAGTAAATCCACCCCGATTGCCAAGACTTTTACCTTGGACTTTCCAACGAGGATCACCAGTCAAAGCTCACGCCCTGACTGCCAACAATAATAAAGGAGACTACCCGAAGGTACATTCTATAGCTATGGGGATAACCATTCTATGGCTGGTACAACTCACATCGAAGGCTACATGGTTCACATGGACACATTGGTCATACCACAACAAAAACAATTAATTAAAGCATAGCAATTTTATAATTAAACCCACCTGGAAAATAGTAAAGGATAGCACAAGGACAAGTGTAGGCAGTGAGCACGGCTCGTCACACACCTACAGTAAGTCAAGATACTAAGATAAATAATTATCTTGATTGTAGAAGAAACACACAAATCATACTTGGTCGAACTTGATTCAACCAAGTCGTTCGTGAAGTTCTGTGGATAGCGGAACACTTGGACTCGACTCGACAAATGAAGAGAAAATACACCATTTTAAGATGGTCGGAAAACCTAATGAGTTAAGTTTTGAAAATTTAACATAAAATTCACCTCACTGAACTTAGTAAAACCACAAGTTTCAGCCCCAAACTCATTATACACAATTTTATAAAATTCATACAAGTTAACAGCAAAACAAACATAAATTCACATCCAGACCTAATGAACGATTCATGAGTTGACATTTTAACATCATAAACTACAGCATGTGGATAATAACATGTAAAAGTTTTAGCCATTAACATCAACTACACATAACTTAAAAAATTCATACAAGTTACTGCAGTTTTTGATTTTTACTAAAACCGAACCAATTTGAACTCCAAAAATTCTAATCTTTTTACAACATGAACTCCACATAAAACAAGCACTTCAGCCAAATATCAAAAGTTTTGAGCAACTGACCAATTTAACATAATTAAAACAATTTTCAACAGAATACTTAAATAAATTATTTACCCTATCAAAATTAGTCCAAAAATTATAAAAATTTTACACAACGTATAAATTTACAAAGGCATAATATACTCAAATTTCAACATGATTGAAGCACGGACCAATTTATTATGCATTTAACATGTTCCAGCCCTGAAAGCACTTTAATTATTTAAAATAGTTACAGACCTCATAAAATCCTAAAATTTTTACACGAGCTAGAAAATTAACAGTGGCAACTACACCTAAAATTTCAAAGCAATCTGATCAGTTTGCGATGTATCATGAATTTATTATCCAAACAGCCATAATAACGATCAATAATTCATACAGGACTTGACACAAACCGAAACTATCCGAGGTCTTCACCATAAGACCAAGAATGTCGATAATGTTCCATTATCCACAACAACTTAACACTTTTAAACGTGTGCTCGATCGATTCACATGGGTCGACGAGGTTCACGTACATTCACGACAAAATTTATATAGAAACGAAATAAACATATAAAATTACAACTCATATAAACATGAAAAAAAAAGAAAAAAATTAAACAAAGGGTCGAGGCTCGATACTGTTCGCGGGAAACGCGAGAATGGCCCGAACGGAAAGAAGAACGGTACGATAGCTCAACGGTTTCGCGCGGCTCGCCGGGGAAGGAGGGCAGCAGCTTGACTGGTCGCGTAGGAGCAGCTTACTCGCCGCTGGGGTCGTGACGGTGGTATTGCTGCATCACGAGAGGGAGCAACAGGTCGTCGGAACTTCACTGATGGCCCGCGATCACGGACAACAAACGGTGGTCGCAATGGTGCACGGTGGAGCTTCTAAACGGAGTCGCGATTGATGGTCAATGGCGATGGCGACGTGCAACGATGGTGCAAGGCTTGCGTCCGCGTCGACGATGGAACACAGCACAGTGGACGATGGACGATGACCGGAATATGATGGTGATGATCGGAGGTGGCGTTTTCTGATGGCCTGAACGTTGACGATGGAAGATGTTGATGGGCGATAATGATGGTGAGGGAGAGTTTGACGAGGGTTGCAATTATCGAATGAGAGAGAGAAAGTTTGGCTGCGGGATTAATTTCTGCTGAGGGTTTGCCTCTCTTAAATAACCCTATTATGAAGACCCCTAGCTTCACCAACAAGTTACAAAGAGAGGGACCCGGGCGGGTCTATGGTGTCGGGCGCGCGGTTTACTGGTTTGGGCCGGAACTCGGTTCATCAACAAAAATTAATCGAGGCTCGATATGGATGATCGATAATTAAAATAAAAACGGTGTAGCTATATACATATAATACACATAATAATATTTATTATATATTACATAAAACATATATTAACAATTTTTGCAAATTAGACATTTAGCCAGTGTTTGGTTCGGGGGAATCTGAGGGGAGGGGAAGGGAGGGGAGGGAATATTTTTATTTTCCCCTGTTTAGTTCAACTTTTGGCAAGGAAGGAGTGTAAAATTTTCCCCTCCTTTCTGCCACCCAAGAGAAAATCAGGTCCACTCCAATTTTTGGGGAATTTGGAAGGGAAGTTAAATCTTACAAGTTTTTGTACTAATATGTCCTTCTCAATTCATTATAATTACATAATATGCCCCTCCAGTTTTATGTCTTGTAAATATTATATTATATAATAAAACAACGCAGCGTCGG